AGAGTGTTGACAGAGCTAAAATAGCTTCTTGTTATGACTATTGTTGATCTAAACCTTTTGTTAAAGATTTTTTTGGCATTTATTTTTTTTCCTTATTGATTATTTATCAATTCTATAAATGATTTTGAAGGTCAAACATCATGCCCAGATGAGATTTTTGAGAATTTGGTGCAGATGGGGGTATATCGCCTGAGGATCAAGTCGTCATTGACTTGATTTCAAATTGGAATGATGATGTTCTATTCTTTGAAGGCAATGTAACACAACCTTATCAATCTGGAGCTTCTGCCCTTGGTGACTGCTATAATTTATTTTTTCTAAAGGAGTTGATGAAGCATGAAGTAAAAGAGGTTGGGATAAATAAGTTGGGAACTGGGGTTCTGTCTGAAATGGGAAATTCTATTGACGGTAATGTCTGAGATGATGAAGAAATTTGTCCAGTTATGGTGGATCCCTATAAACCGACTAAGGGGGTCATATCAGACTCGGGTCATAAAATTGATTTTCATTATTCTTAGGGGGGATCAATGGATATCAAATGATCATTTTTCCAAATTTGAAGGTGAATTGGTGGATCCCCAAAGTCATATCGCTGAAATGAAGACCAAAGAGTTGTTTGTTGACCTAAATTTTCAGGGACAAAAGATGGATTTTGAAAAGAAGGTTGTTTTGATTCGCTGACAATTAGAGGCCTAATATGCTTTACGTCAGCGATGTGAGGAGATGAAAGTGATGGAGGCATAAGTAATGTTATCAAATAACGTTTACTATTGATATATATGTGGCTGGTGGTCAGATGATACTTCAACACCTACTTCATTTAGAGATAATTAGTATGGATGACATGTAAGAAAATTGCTTTTCTATTTGACATTTCACTTTTTTGTCATTTTATTTCTACTTCCTCCATTATGTTCCATAATTAACATTTTTTTATGAAATTCATACTCATTGGACTTCTCACAACTTTTATTAAGAAGAGAACAACCATGGGCCTCATTACTCTAATCATGTTAACTTGAAACATCTCAGTGTGCAATTTTTCTTTGGCTTATTTTGATGGTGTCAAGCTTTGGGTTGAAAGGTGGGTTTCCTTCGTTGGTAAAGCTTCAAAGAAGTTTTTGTGTGGAGGAGGATCAAGCATCATAGGTCCAATCAAAGTATATTTTTGATAATGTCGCAACTCTAACAGCGGCAATGAGAGATGAAACACCTAGAAAGAGCACAAAATCTATTTTTCCTATGAATAATTTTGCTCTGGTTTGCCTTTTTTGTCATGTATGAAATTAATCAACAATTTAAATTTTTTTGGGTATGTTCTTGCTTGCATATGCCCTAACTCAATAAGAAGTATGATGGCGATAGTCATGTATGTACGTGTGGAGGTTCTTTACTGGTCGACAAACCTATTTCGTCATGTGTTCCAAGTGAAGATGTAGAATGATGGCATAGTTATTTTTTCCTTGTCATTGAAGATAGTTGGCTTGGTTAATAAAATGTCAACTGAGTGAAAGAAAAAACTTATGTTTTGCCGACAATTTGAGAGGCTGGAATATCTCTACTGAGCTGTGGTGCTTGGGGAGGGAGATGACTAAAACATTCTTGCTAAATGAGGAGGAAAAACTGTAGTATGATACTCTGAGGAAGGTATAGGTAGATATCATCTATTATACTTTCTTTATTTTCTCATGAGCATGCTAGAAGGCAAGGATACTTTCTATCAAGGTTTCAAACATTATAAATCTTTACTCAATATCTTGTTTGAATCATGCAGCCTTTGCCGTAGGTGAGAGGAAGGGGTTATGTTTATGTCGATTTGATCATAGTGCTGTGGTCTAGAGCTTATCAATGTCTGAAAATATTGTAAGATTATCATCCTTAGTAGAGTGCAGAGTTTAAGAGGAAAAGGATGAGAAATATATTTCTCATAAGCTTTCTCATGAGATGGCAGTGTACAACACCCATTTTGAACAAAAGGAGATCGACCTGAGCCATACCATCCATCAGATAGATCAGAGGAAGCTAGAAGAGCTCAAAAGATTTTGCGAGAGAGTCCCTTAGCGGAGGTCTCGTGGGTCACTCCGGTTATGGATGCACAAATTATGACGATAAGTAAAGTTAGAATTTGGGCATTAGTAAACCTGACTAAAGATTGTTTTCTTGAGGGGCCTAATGCATTGTTAGTGTTTCAATTAAATCTGATCATAAGATCGGGTCATTTGAGGAAGGTGGCATGAGAAATTAACTAAGATGATCATCACATTCTACTGATATAGAGCTTGACATCCTCTCGGCAGTGGACTCATACCGTTGGCACATCTCATTGGGCTATCACAATGGTCAGAAAGAGATTAGAAATATCTGAGTTGGTTTGGGAAGGAAGATCACGCTTGAGGTGGAATCCTGAGAAGGACTTTGATTAAAGATGATGATGCTTTTTGTTAATTTTTATTCTGTTTTTTGTAGTTACAATTGAAAATCCATAAAAAAAAATCTTCTTTCTTTAGGAAAGAGGGTGATGCTTTGTGTGGAAAGAGCCGAGAAAGTGAGGTCTCAGTTGGAGGACCTTCATGTAAGAGTGGTAGTTCTCAGTATGACTAATGGAAGTGTGGTTGTCATAGTATTAAGCGATGATGATGAAGTGGTTGAGGCTCCTTTAATTACTCCTATCAAAGACAAGCCAATGAAAAGAGAATCTCTATGGTAGAGGCAGCCATCAACTTGTCAGTTCTCAGAGTCTAGGTCCGAAAAAATCTTAGGGTCTGTTTGGGGCAGCTGCAACTTATCCAGCTTATCCAAGTAAGCAGCTTATTCTGATAAACTGCTGATTAGTAATTGATCTGAATAAGTTGGCTGACAGTTTGTTTTGTGCATTTGAAAAACAACTGATTTGTAGTTGTTTGTAGATAAATGACCATTTTGTTCATGATCTGGATAAACTGGCTAGCTGTATGGTTTGTGCATTTGAAAAACAACAGATTTGCAGTTATTTCTAGATAAATGACTATTCTGTCATTGTGTAGTTGTGTTGTTTACAGCAGAATAGTAATGGATGTATATTTGATAGTTAAGAACCAACAAAATCATTTCATAATAAGACAAAAAAGGATATACACCTCACTTAAGAGTGAGTATCAAGAAACCTAAAAAAGAAGATACATATTAAAATTACAATTAAAAGTATAATAATACCTATTTTAAAATGTAGGAGAAGCATGTCACGAGCAACATTGCCCTGTAGGGATACCATCGAACCCTAATCATTATCGGTAGTGGAATTGACCGAAGTGTCTGCTCACCTGAAGAAGCACACTTTCTTGGACCGTCTGCCCACCTCAGGCACTTATAGAGCTCTCTCTCGTAGCCATGTGCCCGATGTAACATCAGATGAAGTTTGTAGTCCTCGTGCATAGACGTCGGGATTTGGCGCCTAGGCGCTAGGTATTTAAAATGAAATTTCTGGAAGGCTGGCGCCTAAGCGCCAGAAAAGATTGAACTTTTGTGCAATGAATTTAGATGAATTTTAAAGAGGTGTTTGAAGTGACTCTTGGTGATTTTAAGAGCTTTATTTAAAGAACAATTAGTTGGTCGAAAAAAAACTTTTGGAGGTGGGTGTTGAAGAAGGCTTTGGCTTGAGGCTCTCTCCTAGTGTGTGTGTGTGTGTGTGTGTGTGTGTGTGTGTGTGTGTGTGTGTGTGTAGTGTAGTGTGAGTGTGAGTGTGTGAGAGAGTCTGTGTAGTATGTTTTGGTGTGTCTACCAGAGTAAGAAGCCAAAGGAACTTCAGAGGTTTTACTTGGGGAGAAGTCTCAGATAAGTACTTTATATTTGCGTTTAAGTTTTGTTTTATTGTGAAGACATGTTTTTTAATATAAATCATATTTTGTTGTGTTATCCACATGAATTATGAGTAGTTCCTTTTATATTTCTCCTTTTAATAAGAAGTAATCATGTGTATGATTATAATTGTTTAAGATTTCTCTTATTTTATACTTGTGATGATGCATTACTTCGTACTTCATTTACATCTTTAATATGGTCAATTGAAATATTAAAACCTATTGTGAATCCATAATGTCTTGTGAAGGCTTTGTGCTCCTCAACTAATAATAATCATATTAATCTCGTGGGTGAGAAGGTAAACCATGAGTTAGTGCAAATAAATAGAGAGATAAGTTTTGATTGGTACAAATTGATGATTCTAGGGTGACAGACTAGAACCATTACCAATTTGATCTAGAGTTGGAACCCAAGGACCGGTTAGTCCTATAAAGAGGACACAGTGGGTAATCGAGAGGCGAGAGACTATAACCTAAATAGCATAACTTACGATTTAAGAACTTACTTTAGGTTAGCCAACGTTCTTTATGCACCCGAAAGATGATAAAAAATATGTATGTTCCTCTTCGACACAAAACTACATTTTAGCTTTTAAACATTTGATTCTACACTGATTATAATCTCTTTGCAAGGGAAAAGAACTTTTACATAATTTGAACTTTTCTTCATAAAACTAGTTTAGAATCACTGCATTTTCTTTGAGCTTTGAAATTGAATTTAATAGCTTTGTTTTACACCTAAACTTCCTACCATATTTTATAGAGTTTAAGTTAAGTTTTACTAAGTCTATAAAAGAAGTTTTGGGATAAAAGGAGTTTAACTTTCTCTGTGGGAACGATACTGAAGTTCTTTTAAAAAATTATATACTACTTGAAACGATACATATATTTGCATAGTACCCATACTGTATAAACTATTAATTAAATTCTAAATTATATAATATATATATATATATATATTATACACACTAGCCGTTAAAATAATTTGGGTCAGGAGTCCGCACGTGGAGTCCAGATATAAAAATTTTCCCATCATAGTTAAAGCAAACGAGGCTTAAACTATTGGATTGGACTTGTTCTCTACTAGTCAAAACAGCCCACCCAGCATATTTACCCCTAATAAGCCACAATCGCTTGTGCACGATTCTCCGCGTCGCCTCTCTAGTTAGACCAATTGTACAGGATTTCTCCATCCATCGGTTATTTCATTGCCACCGTCTCTTAGCATATGAAACTCACTCCCACCTGTATATAGATTCGCCATTAATTAGTCCTTAAGCTTCTTTCTCCTCTTCTAACCGCGAAGTTCTAATTAGGCGCTGTAGGAAGAAAAGGGGATGCTTTCTTAGCTCCTGCGACCTTCGTCTCTAGGGTTTGTATCTTTTGGGGCAGAGAGAGGGAAATGGACCCAACAGCTCAGCCGGCAGACACGGACATGTCGGAGGCCGGTCAACCGCGTCAGCAGGCTGCTGTGACGCAGCCGCCGGGCCTCGAGAGCATACAGGCCACTCTAAGCCATGGCGGACGATTCATACAGTACAATATATTCGGGAACGTCTTCGAGGTCACTTCTAAGTACAAGCCGCCTATTATGCCCATCGGGAAGGGCGCTTACGGAATCGTATGGTACGATTTCTCTAAATTTTATCTTTTGTGTTGAGTTTAGATTTGTTTTTGGGCGTTGAGCTGTGGGATTGGGTAGAGGGTTTGTGCATGTACTTTCGGTTTCTAGAACTAAAGAAGTTGGCTCAACTGTGTTGCTCATTCAGCTCGGCGTTCAATTCTGAGACGGGGGAGCAGGTGGCTATCAAGAAGATTGCCAATGCTTTTGATAATAAGATAGATGCGAAGAGGACGCTGCGGGAGATTAAGCTGCTTCGTCATATGGATCATGAAAATGTCAGTGAGCTCCTCTCTTTTCGATTTGTTTATTATTACAATGTGCTGTCTTAAAGAATATCTAACGTTATGGGTTTATTTGCATGAAGCTATTAGATTCTGGCTCCATTTTGTATAGCCGTATGCTAGCTTCTTCTATATAAACAACAAAAATAGTTTTATGATGTTTTTTGTAATAGCGGTCAGAAGTCTAGTTCTGCAAAAGTTACTAGTAAATTTTTTTGGAAGTTTAAGGTTGCTTTTGTTTCGGTTGTGTCTGTACAAAATTTCAATTCAAAAGTTGCTATTGAAAATCTATTGTTCAAAAGTTGGTGTTTAATAAAAATAGTCTATTTGAAAAACACAATTATGAAAGTGCTGTCTGTGGACTAATGACTCCCTCAGTGTATATTATGTAGATAACACAGTCATTTTAATGTCCTTTGGATTTTAAAAAATTGAATTTACAGAATTTACTAAAATCTATTTAGGATGCGTTTGTTTTAGCTGTGACTGTAGAAAAGTTTGTTTCTAAAGCTACCGTTGAAAACCTGTTGTTCAGAAGCTGATGTTTCATAAATAGTTGGATCTGTTTGAAAAATATAGTTTTGAAAGTGCTGTCTGTTGACATAATAACTGTAATACCCCTAAAGTACATAAATACAGTTCAACTTACTGTTTGAAAAACATAGTTTCGAAAGTGCTTTCCGTGAAATAAATCCAATAACAATCTATACAGTTTTTTTTACTCACAACATCAAAGGACAAATTAAGGTGAACTATAACTGAACCATAAGAAATCATCAAATTATATCTTCCAACAATAACATACTACTAAGAGATTGTGATAGATTAGGTACTGCATCAATGGAGTTCTTAATGGGATCCCAATCAAGTTGGATAGATTCTCTTTTGAGCTCTTTCGAAAATTTTTAATTTTTTTTAACTGATCCCACTTGTTCTTTAACTGTGTTCAGTAATAAAATCTGCTTGTTCTTTCTTGAAATTGTAATATTTTGTGAACCTTCTTTGCTAAAATAGATTGTGGGTCTATTTCCTAACTCAATTTCACGCAAGCATATGTCAAAAAAATCATTTTGATTCTTTTTCTCAAATAGTGGATGACGTGCTGCCCCATGTGTTACCTATTTGTTCTTGTATCTATAAGTTCAATAGTTATATGATAGATAGTAGAATATTCTATGCACTAAAATATGATAAACATTGCATAATTATCTAGAGATTTGAGAATTGGTAAGCAAATTTATGAAAAGCCAACTGCATTGAATTTGCAAGTGACATAACTACAAAATAAACATCTTCACCATAAAATTTTTATGCTTTTACATATGGAACACCTAAATATTCATATTGTCGTGCATAAGAATCAATTCTTCGACATCTTCTAAAAGACCACCATCACTATTCATGCAGCAAACCAAAAGTATGATAATATTTAACATTGACTGTCCATAAAGAAACCCCCATCTTGAAGTTGAAGACTTCTTTCATTTTTCCCAAAATCCCCCCAAATTGCTTCCACGGTTATATAATAAAATGAGAAATTACATGCACAACAAACAAGCCTTAGGCATTCAACCATAAACCCTTAAACTTTCATATTCGCATTTATTGCTCGGATTTTCATGTGCTAAATATGTAAATAAATATGAAACATGTGGTATGTTAAATGCCCTCAATTGGAGAACATAAAGAGAAAAATATTTATAATACATCAATAAACCATTTTGAGGATAAACCATTTGTTAAAACATCCAAACAAAGTGCTTCCGCTGTCATAGACCACTCTCTTTAATATTCGAATCAGGTCTAGAACCCATCCAAAAAACAATGCTTCCATTGTTATTAACCAAAATATTGAGCTCAAGTAACGTAATGACAAAAAAACTAAAAAAAGAAAAAATTTTTGGTGTGTTAGAACTCAAAATAAAGAAGATCCGTTTGACAATAAATGCAAATTCTCAACCATATGCAATCACTTTCATAGATCTGATGGTATCAAATGAAAAAATAAAATATAGAGAAGGCAAAAAGTCACGATTCTTCTCCTCACCAACGAATTGAGCACATAAAAAAGGGCAGGACATGATATAAACCCAAAATATGTACATCCAACATTTTTTCCTCCTTATAATAGGATAGTTCACGATCATTATAGAAGGTCTTCCTACCTTTAATCGAGACATGGATTGCGAGAGAAAAGCGAGGAGGCAAGCTAAAGAAACATACCAATGTCGACGAATGAATGCAAGGGCAAAAGGGGCTTTGGATCCCTCCGGGGCGAAGTAGGGCTAGAAGAAGAATGAAAGTGAGGGTAAGGAAAAAAACCATCGCTGTTTATTCGCGAACCGCGGGATGTAGGCGTTGGCTTGCGGTCACGAAAGCAATATTTTTAGGATGCGGTTAAAAACCTGGACGAAGAAACGGACCCCAAACGCACAAAAATCACGTTTTTTATAAAACGCCGATTCTAAAAGCCGAAACAAGCCTTAGTAAAAATGGTGAGATACTTTAAAACATGATTTGAGCAGAAATTAACAAAAATCTTTTAAAGCAGTAAAATTTGCATCTTTATATCCCATTTTTCCTTAAATCCAAGGTTTAAACCACATAGGAAGATTACTCTCTCCCACATTTTGCCCACTCTCATTATTTCTCACTCTCTTTTCCTCTTTTCCTATATCTCTCTCTCTCTTCATCCCTTCTCTCTCTCATTGTATCTTCCTCTCTCTCTTTATCTCACTCTTATAGTCTTATCACTCTCTTCTCTTCCAAATCTTCGCTTGCTTCTCTCCCACATATGAGTGAGATAAAGAGAGAGAGGGTTGCATTTCCAGCCCCCGCAACCCATTTCTTGAAATTTTGATGGATGGCTATGTGAAGATTATTCTTGAAATCTTTTTGAATCCTAATGCTAGAAAACAAGGACAATGATGTGCTGGTTTCAAAATACCAAATGACAACACAAATGGAGGGGGGCTCGCTGCGGTCCTTCACGCGGAGGCAGAGAGGGCAAAGTGAATGGAGGAGAGAGCAGCGATCGCAAATGGAGGAGGGGCTGCGGGCTTTCTCCTTGCAGTCGGTTAGGGCTCGCGAGGGCAGGGACAGTCTTTTCGTAATTGCGAATGCGGGACACAACTATTGATTCGTGGTTGTGAATAATAAAAGGGCTCGCTCCGCAGTTTGAAACGCCCAGGCAAACCGCACGAATCAAACAATAAAATAAGCTTGTTCGGTTTAGAATCCAGTTTGGAAAACCAAAACAAAACACCCTAAATTAGGTAGCCTACGTCAAAAGCGCTTATATTAATTTTTTGAGAAATTTACTTGGATATTCCCCACATAAGTTATATATATTTACATATCTAACATCCAGAATTTGATATTTACACTTTTAATACCTTGGTGTCATAAATCTATTCATGAAAATGTGTATTTTACTTTTTAAAAGGTTGTGATGGTGGTATTTTTGACGTGATGTTAAAAAATTGGAGTAGTATGCATCTAAATTTGAAAGTTTAGGCATTATATATGTAAATACATAACAATCGTGTGGTATGTTTTTTAAAATTTTTTAGCTGTAGATCAATTAAGATTATGATATTATATTATCATGAAATGAAATTCATAATAAATCAAATTTGGTCATTCTATCAACACGTATTTTAACTAACATTGAACTAGACAACACTTCTAACAACTATTTAAATATGATTTTACCAAGCCATGCTATGTTTTTCTCTACTAAACCGACAATATAGGAAAACAATGGAAATATAGTCTGTTTTGGTTAGTTTGTTGTACACTCTTGATTTCTGATTTTGTTGAATATTCTGAAAGTGCTTTCCTTTATTAACTTTTTTTTTATTTAAGGTTATTCTTTCGAATCTAGTTTATGATGTGAGAAATAATGGGTTAATTCCAAAACCACGGCCCTACAATATGTATTATAGCTGCTTTTTGTATCCATCTTGATTTTTTTTTTATTTAAACATGATCACTAATTTACCTTTTCTTGTATAGCATTCATAACTTTGAAAGGATTAACATATTATCATGTACATTTACTAATACAGCACATTGTTAAGGATTGGGAACACTAGGGCCATAAATTGAATCCAATACCTTGTAAATATTGAACCGTCAAGAAGAAATATAAGTTAATGGGTAGGGATTGCTATAAATATATATTGAAAACTTATTTTTCACTTACGAAGTGAAAGTATTCCCCACTATCTTATATATTTCAACAATCTTCCCCTCACATGAACTCCTTTGTATGAACCATCACTCTCTTTCAAATTAAAGTTTTTCAACACCATCATGTATTATGCACCAGATGCCTACTCAATGATGTGGAGTCTCTAGAGAATCATCTGCTCCTGAATGTTGTTGACCTTAGTAGAAGTAGTCAAGCCACCATGACCCATGGGAGCCAGAATCTAGATTGAACGCTTGATCCAAGTTAAACTATCGAGTATAACATTAGTTGTTAACAGGGTGGAGTTCTATGGGCCCAAATTAAGTCCATTGCATTAGTATATGAGCAACCACTCATCAACTTAGAAATTTATGCCAATGGGTAAGGACTTCTACAAGTATATTAGGAACTCATTTTGTTATTTCACTTTTTATGCCATGCTATTCTTTACTCTTATGTTTTTCTCAACCCATATTATTGTCTCAGGCCACTCCTCATTTCACTATGGGTAACCAAGCTTTTATTCATAGCTTTGCAGCTGAACCTGTGTTACCTTAGCATTCACTTGTGTTAGCATTCATTATCCCTTTCCATAAACTTGTGATCGGAGAATTGATCAAACTAGCAATTTGTAGGGCTGTATAATAGGGAACTTTATTTACCCAAAAGAGCTAGCAATTTAGATCAATCTTGCTTTTTGTGGATGCTATATGGTCTCACTAGGAGGTGTGAAAAAAAGAAAATTTTACAATTAGATGCTTTCTACACATTCTATGACTTGGCAAGTCAAATAACTTTG